TTCAGCAGGAAAGGTACAAACTGTGATACGTTTCTTGGTATTTGGGTAGCCTGGCCTCCAGAACTGTCAATGTTGTCCACCTTGCTCTCATCCATATCAATATTTGTTTTTAATTGTAATTTCAGTTACAAGAGGCCTGAGTAATTGTCTGGGGGGAATCTAGGCCAATTCACTGTATAATATATATCCTTTATTTTTTTTGGGGGGGGAGATATTAGAAATACAATGCATGTGACAGTTGTTTTCATATGTGGCAGCCACATCTGTTTAGAAAGCCTGTTTATTCCTATTCAGGAATTCAAAGGGTTAGTTTGAGACCATGAGCAGGAAGGGTTCTAATCCCAGCCTTGCTACCAGAAGAGATCGTCTGCTACCTGTGAAGTTTTCCCACTTGAACCCTGATTTTTCAGGATGCCCATTGCATAGAAATACTTGACATGCAGCAAAAACTTTGCATTTTAGAAAATAAATCAGAGAAAGTGACAGGCAGAGGATTGGGCCTGAGCTCTCCTCCTATTCACATTTTTCTGATTAACTGTTGACTGACTGACTAGGGCTTTTGTCATATAATTCAGGAGCTGGTAAATGCATGTAGCAGACTAGGAAGATGGTCACTATTTTTCGATAAGAAATTGATCATACACAACCCTACTAAAAACAATTATAGTACAGCCTTTTCCAGGCATTATAGCATGAAAGTATGGAGGGCTGTAGTCAAGGTTGAGGTGTGGGAATGCAAGGCCTGCCTTCCACCTGGAAGTCATTCAAACTAAAGAAAAGCTCCTTTTCAGGCCCAATCATGTCTCACTGACTTTGAATGTGTACCCTTCCATCTCTGCCACTAGATCCAGCCACACTTCCACACTTTTAATAATAGGACTTATTATGTGTTATGAACTGACCAGATAGCTTGGTAAGTTGAGAACCTGCCTATAGAGCCAGAGGTCAAGAGTTCAATTCCCAAGTTTGTCTCTCAAGGGAAGACCCAGCCTGTACAGCTGTGGGTAAGCAACACACTGCCAGAGCAACACTAGAAGTGGAAGGTAAATCACTTCTGAACACTCTATACGTAGATAGTCTGGGCAAGAATCACAGTGAATTGGAATCAACTTGATGACATGTGATAACGACGACAGTGCTGATGATTTGTCTTCATATTTCTCAACACTGCTGGTGCAAGGGGGCAGACCAAAAGGTCAAGCCCAAAAATAGGAGCAAAATCCTAAAAATTTGGGATGAGAGCACTTGTTTGCAAAATCACTGATTTTTGAATTTCAGGAAGCAAATCAGCAGCTGTTGGCTATTGTTTAAAACTGGCAACTAAAGATTTTTAACAATTCTGAATGCTTAAATTAATATGGGGAGAAGGAGAACTTTATATTGCTCCTATATTCTTTTATATTCTTTTATTTTCTTGCGTTAATGTTTGGTACTTTGCAAATTTTGTACTTTCTGTACTTTTGAACTTGCTTCTTGACAGAACTCTTTAAGATACATTTTTCTCAGTTGGTTATCCAGAAGTATAATATCTGGCTTATTATATTGTTATTTTTATTTATATAATTCTAGAAAGCATTCAAGCCCCTGCAAACTTTACATAGTTTCCATTAGATGTGAGATAGAAGAACCATGGACAGCCCCCCCCCATTACATTTTGCTGGCTGGGAAAAGATCAAAATGGTGGTCTTCCTCTCTCTAAATCATTGTAGAGAAGCTAGCTGCTGAATATTATTTCCATATTAGTTGTCTTTCTGTTGCACTCGAGGAACAGTTTGGAGGGCCTGGCAAAGTTATTTTTTTCTATTACTAGTGGCCGTGTTGATTGGGGAATTCTGGGAGTTGTAGTTTAAAAAGTAACTCTGTTGTAAATTATAGCTCTGGCCTTTAGTATCCTGCCAATGCCCTGTATCCTCTAGCATCTGATGTTGATTGGGGAATTCTGGGACTTGTAGTTTAAAAAGTAACTCTGTTGTAAATTATAGCTCTGGCCTTTAGTATCCTGCCAATGCCCTGTATCCTCTAGCATCTGCGTAACTCTGTTGTAACAAACATAGCTCTGGCCTTTAGTATCGTGCCAATGCCCTGTATCCTCTAGCATCTGCCAGCTCAGACAGCAGTCTCGCTGAATCTAATGGCAAAACCAGGATTGGTGGATGGGAATGATTCTGTAGTCCAGAAAGGAAAGGGTCTATAAAGGACTTGCAACATTTGAAATATATATGTATGGATTCGAATAATTCATCTACATCTATTCTCGGATGCGAGTCAATAAAAAGAAGCAGAATAGCAAAGAAACATAAACAACAAGAAGCTTATAAACAACAATAGTAGAACAGTTGCAGTTTGTTGTAACTATTTTTTTTTAATTCAGAAGGAGAAGGATTTGGGTCACAGAGTACTATTAATTTGTCTGTCAGAAGCTAGAGCATTGCTTAAAAGTTTTGTAAACAATATGTTACCTCCATGCACTAAGTGCAATTTTCAATACCGGTAATTTTTTTAAAAAATGTTACTATAACATTGGCAGTAGATATAAAACCTGTTATTGGCAGAGATTGACAGAAATATTTTGTTTATTTTGTCTTTTCACAGGAAGTTACCAAATCTGTGCAGCCCCTTTTATTGGGAAGAATAATAGCTTCTTACGATCCTTCCAATTCAGCTGAACGGTCAATAGCTTACTATGTAGGCATAGGACTCTGCCTTCTCTTCATTGTACGAATGTTGCTTCTCCATCCAGCTATATTTGGCCTTCATCACATTGGAATGCAAATAAGGATAGCTTTGTTTAGCTTAATTTATAAAAAAGTAAGCATTCCCTGTTTGTTTAAGTGATCTTTAAGTGCAATTAAGCCCTATGGGACACTTTGATTATAACAGCAACCCACTATTGAGACAACAAATTAGTCTATGAAATGATATGTTTATGAGATGTTTAATTATGATTTTGATTACTTAGGTGCTGATTACTGGTATTTGTTCATTTTATTTTATTCTTTTGTTTTGCTGCTTTTATTAAAGTTATCATATATCCATTTGTTGATATATAGCCACAATGTTATGTTCTTTTTCTTTGCCTATGCCAATTATCTGTGGGCTTATTTATTTAATCCCTGATAAGCCTGCTTTATTCCATTCCTAGTTACAACAGAAACTTTAGGTTTTCATTACCTAGGACAGTAAACTGGTTTATACTTGCCTACTCCAGCAAAATCAGAAACCAAGCCTTGACAGGGATTTTAAATCTTGGCTTGGAAGGCAAGAGCAAACCAGATTTTTCTGTTTCACATAGAATGGCAAACTATAATTTACTTGGAATTGGAGGTTAGGGATGGAATCAGTGGGTGCAAGGAGAAAAGGTTCCTTGTGAGCCCAAGGATCAGGTGAAATGATTTGGCTGGCACATCTGAATCAGATTAGTAGTGTGAATAATGCAACACCATGCAGTATATATCAACATATGAATCAAAATTAACAGCAGGTGCATTGAAGAAGTCAGTATTTGCAAGGTGACGATATGGATATGTCAAAGTAAAGTAACATAGGCTTAGATTGAAGTTCTACAACATTGTCTAGGCTGAGCATTAACCACTAAATACTATGAAGCATATTTATGAGCAAATAGGCAGGGGATTACACTTTAATATCAGTATCCTATGAAGTTCTAGTCAGTAGTGAGCCCTACTGATTTCATTGGGATTCCTGTCAGGTAAGTACATAGGACTGCAGTCTGAAACAATGCTTTCCTGTGTATGTGGTACTGTAGAAGGCTAGAACAATGGCTGTTATTCCATTGGCAAATACCAGGATCTAGCTGATAGTAACTAATTTTAAATATTTAGCCTTCAGTTGTTATTTTGTCTGATTGGTGTTTGTAATTCTTTCCCTTTTTGTTTTACAGACCTTAAAATTGTCAAGCAGAGTCCTAGATAAAATAAGTACTGGACAACTTGTTAGCCTTCTTTCAAACAATCTGAACAAATTTGATGAAGTACGTTGCTGTTGACAATCATATATTTATTACATTTCTTTTAAACACACTACTTGGTTTCCAATCCATCTAAAAGAGTTTAGCATCACCAGAACCAAAATTAACTGGTAGAAATGTGTAGCTCTCCTGAATTGTGCGGCTTAAGCTCATTATAAAAAACAAGTAAAAGTAACATGAAACAACTGTACAGTATGAGAAGATTGAAGAGTATTTATATTCCACCACCCTTGCTGTTTGAAGTGGCTTATAAAATGATTAAGAAATGTTAAAATAGTGTAGGTACCAGCTTGTTCCCAACATTTATCTCCTTTGATGCACTTTGTTCTGAACATTCCATACCTCTCTAGCTTAACTAAGGGTGTGTCTGCTAGCCTGCTGCTGATTTACTGCTAGAACAACTGCCATACTGGCTTCTATTGCTGCAAGTTGTGTGCTCAATGAGCAGTGACTAAATCATTGCTGAAAGACACAGCCATCTGTTTCTCGGGGTGCATGAAAGTGGCAATATGAACAATTAATGGTCCTGTCTGCATTGGCAGCAGGCTCTTTCGGGCCTGGTACACTATCTCTGTTCAGCTTACATTCACAAGTGCATTCATGGCTATTCAGAAGAGTCTTTGGACACTTCTTCAAGAATCGCTCATGAGGTTTGCTATGAATATCAACATGATTCTTTGCCTGCTGTGAGGATAAATCTGCCCATCATCATTGGGCACCCAATTTCTCAAAGACCATTCATTGTTCCATTCAGGCAAACAGAGCATGATGTAGTCTTCAAAAAGTCAGCCTGGCTCAATCCCTTCTTTCTGAGACAATTGCCCCAAAGATGGATAGGAGGGTGGCTACTGGGCATACAATTTTTAAAAGAATGGAGGCCCTTAAGGAGGAGTTGGAAAGTCTAAAAAGATCTCTTCTTGTCTTCCCGCTGTCACGTTGCTTTCTGAGGATAGCTTGATGTGTTGTTGTTTTTCTCCTCACCAGGGTCTAGCCTTGGCTCATTTTGTATGGATTGCACCTTTACAAGTAGTCCTGTTGATGGGGCTGATCTGTGAGACGTTGGACGCCTCAGCATTTGGTGGACTTGGCTTCCTAATTCTCGTTGTCCTTTTCCAATCCTGCCTAGGACGAATGATGATGAAATACAGGTGACAAAGCAAACTACAGGCGTTTCTTTTAAATATTATGGTTTTAAAAATCTTGTTAATTAAAGGTTCTGAACAGCTACTGTCAAGAGCCTGCTATTAACAGGAAGGTCATGTTATGTAAACATTATTTATTATCTAGATTGTAGGCACTCATGGTACAAATATTTAGCAGAATGGTTTTGAAAATCCAAGCTGAATGTACACGTTAATGCACATTTCCTTTCCTTCCTGCCGGAGAGAACAATACTGTACTTGGGTATTGTTATAATTTTTTTGACAACTTACCACATTGATTTTTTTTTCATTGAACATGTACATTTTGGTGCCTCTCTTTGTTCTTCTCTGTGGGTTTTAGTGCCACACTGTAGTTTGGGATTTTCAAAAACCAAAAGTATGTTCAGCATGAACATGCTTCTTTTTTTTTGAAAATACACACAGAAACAAATCATATTAACCTTTGTTAACTTACCACTCTATTTATTTACACATTAATATATCTCCTGTCCATGCATTTGTTTTATAACAGAAAATGCCGGGTTCCAATAATAATATAGAGGAAGGAATAGGGAATGAAGAGGTAAAAAAATGAAAATTAAACATGATGAACTTACACAATGGAATGCCATTACAAATGGCAGTTTTCTAGAAAGAGGCAAAGCAGATGGTAGTTTATCTCAGATAGGCCTGTTTTACTCCAGTTCCCCTGGTGCAGCTAGGCAGAGTGGCAGCTGATGAATTAGAATCACAACTTAGTGTTTCCACTAATACATGAACATTTAATTCTTTAAAAATTTTAGTTTGTTAATGTTCAGTCTTCTTTTTTTCTGAAAAATCTATGGGAGAGTCACATTGTCCCAAAACATATGAAAAGAATAAAGTTGTTCCAAAACCATATAAAGCTGCCTACTGGAGGTTTAAAGTGCACATTGATAGTAGTGAAACTAAGTTTCCATGCAATTGTAATAATGCATAAGTGAAGGTAATTTCTGATGTAGTATAGTAGGGCTGCAGTCCCTGCATGCACTTCCATTGGATTAAGCCTTGTTGACAGAATTGGACATTTTGAGTCACCATCCATAGCTTCACAGTGTACCTCTTCTATTGAAATCTAAGTGAACGGAAAGTACGTACTTCATGGCTGGATGATACCTTATGAGTTTTACCCAAAGGCACTTCTATATCAATGCAACTCTATAAATTCTGGATTTTGGAGCCTAAAGTTTATCTGAACAGTGTCACAGATTAAACAAGTGTAAGTGTTCTTGGATGAGGATATCAACAATTTGAAATGAATGGTTTAATTTAATATTAATTAATGGTTTAATTTTTGGTTTGAATAGATTATTCTCATTAATGCTATATCATATATACCTTCCAAGGAGATTGGTAATGAGCATGAAACACATATGAGATTACCTGTTTTACAGAGATCAGAGAGGAGGAAAGATCAATGAAAGACTTGTAATTACGTCAGAAATTATTGAAAATATACAGTCAGTCAAGGCGTACTGTTGGGAAAATGCAATGGAAAATATGATTGAAAGTCTGCGAAAGTAAGTATGTCTATGTATGCTATGCATTGGAAATTCTGTGGGCACTCCTTATGCCTGTGGATTTATGAGATCATTACTTATTCTATATGAGCAGGATTAAAAATTGAGGTTGAATGAAACAAATAAATGACTGCAGACCTATATTTTCTATAATGAAGAAGAGCACTTCAAAAGTGCCAGCTAGACTATGATGTTGCAAAAACATCCTGTCTCAGTATGAACCTACATACACAGCTCTCAAATTGTGCTTTTATCTGGGATCAACCGTGAGATTCAAACCTAGGTCTTTGGGGTATTTGACTGGTCCATTTACAGACAGACTACAAAGGTAAATTGGATTTCCACTTTAACAAATACTATGTTGATTTAATAGAAGAAATATCGTGTTTTTGGAGATCTGTGTAGTAAAAGCAGTAAACGTTATATGCTGTCAAGTTGCTTCTGACCTGTGACGATCCTTGAATGAGTGCTTTCCAAAATGTCCTGTCCTCAACAGCCCTGTTCAGCTACTGCAGAGTCAGTCCTGTGATTTTCTTTAGGGTGTCAGTCCATCACATACATTTAGTCTTTCTCTTTTCCTGCTGCCTTCTACCTTTTCCAGTAGTATGTATTTCCAGGGAATCCTGCTTTCTCATGATGTGTCCAAAGCAGGGCAGCCTCAGTTTCAAGGTTTGTTGCCTCCAGTGATAGTTCAGGCTTGTTCATAAATAAGAACAATGAGTCTGCTTAGCCTTATTGCCTCCAATGATAGTTCAGGCTTGATTTGTCTGTCTGTGTCTGGTAGTCCAGGGTATCTGCAAATCTCACCTCCAGCATCACATTTCAACCAAATCATTTTTTTCCTGTCTTGTGTGGTAAATTAGGTAAATCTTGCTCTGCCTATCACACCCCTAGATCCATTCTGTTTTTCTTCGGCTCTTTGGGTCCTCTTAAGGAGAAAAGCAGGGTAAATCTATTTTAAATAAAGTAAAATAAAATTTTAAAAATGGGATACAAGATTGTAGAACATTTTGGTCAGAAGGGCGATTAGACCAGCTGGCAGATATTATGACAATAATTGTGTGTCATCAAGTCAATTCTGATTTAAGGCATCCCTTTCTGGGGTTTCCTAGGTAAAAAAATTCTCATAATTGGTTTACCATTTCCTTCTTCTGGGGTCATCCTGAGACTGTGGAGCTTGTTCAAAGCCACACAGGCTGGCTCTTCTGGGAATCAAACTCCCAACCTCAGATGCCTAATGCATCGAGCTATCCAACCATAGTCAGCAAAGGTTTCTTACTCCCATTGGTTGAAATATCATCACTAACAAAGTAATCACCTTACAAATTATGGAGGGAGAACAGGATTAGATTTGCGTGTCTGTGAAATAATGTTCTCCATTTTTGCTACTGAAAATGAATTCCTGTCCTGACTGTAAGCTTAGAAAAACCTTGTTCTGCAAAACCTTGTTCTATGTCCATCTGCCTAAGCCATTATATTTGCTCTTGGTGGACCACACTATTCAAGTGGAAAATAGTAGTTGCAGAATAGGTGAAGGGAGAGGAGACACAGGAAAATGAACTAACATTTATTTGTTTATATAGGGATGCTTGAAAAAGCATGGGATGAGGGGGAAAGGGAGCTTTCAGATTAGATTAACATGAAGTCTTCTCACCCCTCCTCTAAATAGCATGATAATCAGAATTATCCCTTTGTTTCAAGGTATGTATTTTGTAATTTATTTATTCTTTTATTATTGTTGTTGCTTTTAAATCTGTTTTAGTAATGTTTTTATCTTTAATTCTTTTTAAAATATTTGTAAAACTTACTGTTTTTAGCTTTCAAATATTGCCTTTTTAAAGGAGAAATACAGGATAAAAATATTTTTAATAAAAATAAAACAGAATATTGTATACTATTTGGCATGACAGGAAAAATATCTCAAGTTCCAACTTGGTTATACATGAACAATTACTTAAGAGTCATATGCTGAAACCCTTTTATATTCCAGCCCTGGTAGAGACATTTATTATTTCAACTTCTAAATGCCTACATAAAATGTTTAGATAGCAAGCAGTAAGTAATCAGGTAAATTGGAAGTTTTATAGCTCCTTCATCTAGAAGTATATATTCAGCTTAGGCAATGTTAAAGAGTGTAATACAATTCTTTCCCTTAAATGTTGTATGTGTTTTCCTTAAGAAACATTTTCTTGTTCGTACACAAAACTGATTATAATACTGGGTGAGTCTTTCATTCTGTTTTCAACAATGCCAATCTATAGTTTGCTTGTGGGCATAGTGTATGCAAATCTTAAATAAGAACAGGCGCAATAATGAATATTGCAACATTTCAATAAGATTTTAGTAGTAGATCTGTATATGCTTAGAAACTGTAAGAAACCGGAGCATGTTGGAGTCAACTATATGTTTCAAGGTGAAGTGATGTAGAGTTTCTATTTTGCATTTCTTTAAAGGATAATTTTAAGGTTTAGAGGATAAAAGGAAGCCAAGGAAGGAATAGGATGAAACACCATGTCCATGTATTCACTAACAAGAAGTTTCAGATCATATAAGGCAAAGATGGAGACTTGATTCATGGAACTCAAGTTGCAGCAGTGACTAAACTTGGTTTTTTTTCTTCAGTGATTCAGATGTGACTCATCACTTGGAAGCCAGCCACCCCCTTTCTTTTTTAGGGGGAAAAAGCTTGTTTTAACAGAGACTTGGACTTAGGACTTGAGACTCGATACTTGGTACCAAGACTTGGACTTGCTACCAAACACTAGGACTCAGACTTGGGACTCTGACCCAAAGACTTCCCAACATCCCCGGTATAAGGAAAGAAAAGGACAACGAGGCACTAACTGGTCTTTATAAAACTTTGCTTTTTGTTACATTTAAAGAAACAATTTCAATTAGAATTCCTTAAAAAAAATTTCTTCAGTGTATTAATTTCATTTTCTATTATGTGAAAGTGAAATTGACTTTAATTTTTTTCTACAGTCACCAACTCCTATCTGGCTTTTCTGTCTCTCAGTAGTTTCTCTTTCAGATGGTCATTGCAGTTCAAAACATAGGTAATATTGCTGATTGTTGAATGATGACATTGTGATCCTGGTGACTATTTCTGTAATTTCTCTGCTACTCCTAAAACAATGGTCCAGAGTGCTTGGAAACCCACTGTAGAAGGGTTTTGGTACCAGGGTTTTGGCACTCCTAATTTCAGGAATTAGGAGATGAAATTCCCAGTATAACTATGAGCGTCACATTCGATTTTGGCCATTTTTATTACAATGATTTCAATGACAAGTTAAAATTTTGAACTCCATAACATGTGTAGACTGTAATCAGCATTTTTTACTTATCCAGTGAATTATATGCCTAATATATGCTTTCCTTAATCAATGTTTCCTGTTTGATATACAAAGTTGATTATAGTACCAGGTGTCTTTCATTTTGTTTTCAACAATGCCAGTCTGCAGTTTATTTGTTGCCATAGTGTATACAAATCTTAAATAAGATGAGAAACAATAGTCAGTATTGCAATAAACTTACTTTTACTTGTCAATGTAAAAATTGGAACTGGAAAGTTCCCTCCACCATCCCAGTGCACATTATGTTGGCAACGGTCAACAATGAATCTGATTTGCTGTCTTACTGACTGCATCATTTCTGAGCCAGATCTTTACACTCTGCCTTAGTACTGGGCCTTTCATTCAAAATTTTATAAAATGGTTTCAATAGCATGGAGCATTTTAGGAACACAGGACTCCTTCCAAAGACAACTTGGTGATGATACAGTATATAGTCCTTTAATGATTAACTTCCTATTGCTATAAATGTTAAAGTGGGCTGAAGGTTCCTCCAAAGATAAATCTATAGCTGCCATTTTATTACACTGTTCCTTGGCAGTTTCTTTCAGTCTGGAGTCCCACAATTTCAAGAAGTGTTGCAGATAATACTTGAATTGTGATGAAGAATTTTTGCAGGCATATAAAGCTGTATGGTTTTTTCTTTGCCTTTCCTCATTTATTATGTGGGCCTCAGAATGTTGTTATTTTAAAAAAATTAGCTCTTAGAGTGCAGAATGTCACTTAGAAAAAATTGTGTTGGTTTTAGTGGCACTGACTGTTAAGTAAATATGTATAAGATTGTGACCTTAATATCTTTTGTCTTCTTCTCTTCCCTTCACTTCTTTATATTCGATATGAACTAATATTTGTACATCTCTGCTGACTTTTCTATAGAGCAATTCAAGGAGACAACTAATAAAAATGCTTAACTTGATTTATTTGGATAGTAGTTAGCCTGACGTCTGTAGGTCTAGGAACTCTTCAGGACCACATGAGAGATAAAGTGTGATCTCTTACAAGGACGAGAAACAGAAGGACAGGGAAATTGTTCTGCTTTTAACCTAATCACTTGGTGCAAAGTATAAGGTTATGGCTCTCCTTAGTTAGCCTGTTATGTTTTCTGAAATCCTTAACAGTTTGGCAGGAAAACATCAACAGTAAAAACAGCTGTCGTGTCCATGTGTCCATGTATGTCCGTGTGTGTCCCTGTCCGTGTGTGTGTGTCCGTGTGTGTGTCCGTGTGTCCGTGTCCGTGTGTGTGTGTGTGTGTCCGTGTGTCCGTGTCTGTGTGTGTGTGTGGTCTGTCTGTCTGCTGTCTGTCTATCTGTCCGTGTGTGTCCGTGTGTGTGTGTGTGTGTGTGTGTGGTCTGTCTGTCTGTGTGTCTGTCTGTCTGTCTGTGTCTGTGTGTGTCTCTGTGTTGTGTGTTTAGATGTTGATGTAGCTGCTGGATATCCTAACTTTTAGGAAGCTATCCTGTCTTAGAATACTTAAAACAGCTGTCAGTATACTGTAGATAGCTGTCATCAGAAAGGAGATTGGGTACATTCATGGAGATGAGAGCTGCTCATATCTAGTGGGCAAGATGACAATGTATCACCTTTAGTGCCAGAAGCAATGTGTTTCTATATGTTCAGCTATTGGGGAGCGTGATATGGAAGGGCTTGTTTTGCTCATCTCTTTCTGCCAGGCTTCACATGGGCAACTGGTTAGTCATTGTGAGAACAAAACGTTGGCCAAGATTGGGATTTGCTCTGATCCAGCATGTTTCATCTTACACTTTTATGTTCATACAATCTTTGAATGCACAGCTCAGATGTAAGAGCAACTTACACTTCTTGCTGAAAGTTTATCATCATCTAGTCGTTTAGTTGTGTCCGACTCTTCGTGACCCCATGGACCAGAGCATGCCAGGGCCTCCTATCTTCTACTGCCTCCTGGAGTTGTATCAATGAAAGTTTATCAAGCATGATCAAAATATAATAATTCATGTTTTGGATTTGCATTTGCTTTCTAATTCTCATTTTGTTCATAATTTCACTGGATGATTCTGGACCAGCCAGAATCCTAGCCTAACCTCAAAGGATTGTTGTGCAGATAAAGTTGTGGTAGAGCAGAGAGACCATCTGACTTCAGATCCATATTGTCCTGATCTACATCCTGAGCTAATGCTATTTTCCAAATAGATAACACTAACCATAACAGCATCTATGCTTTGTTTTTCTTTTTGACAGAACTGAACTGAAGTTGACCCGAAAAGCTGCTTATGTGAGATATTTCAATAGCTCAGTGTTCTTCTTCTCTGGGTTTTTTGTGGTGTTTTTGACTGTGCTTCCGTATGCCCTCATCCGTGGAATTATCCTCAGAAAAATATTTACCACCATCTCATTCAGCATTGTTCTTCGAATGACAGTCACCAGGCAGTTTCCTTGGGCTGTGCAGACATGGTACGATTCTCTTGGAGCAATAAGCAAAATACAGGTATAGCACATAGATCAACTAATCCTGTCTAGTATATTATCTTGCCACTTTATCACTGAAACTATGTTAAAGTATTTTATTACCCCTCATTATGTGTGATTTGTAGAACCAGTTTCAATGTATTTCTCTTCTGATGTTACTAGCAAAATGTCAGTTGTGTGAGGCTACTGCTGTTGCTTCAATTGCAGTGATTTGAACATTCATTAGATGGCCTGTTGAGATTAAATGAGATTTACTTTTGTATCAGTGTTCTGAAAAGCTTGAATATGAAACATGATTTTTAGATAAGAAGCTGTCCTTGGTTAATATTGCCAATTTGTTCAACTGGTCCCACTCAACAAAATGTAGACAGGCTTAGTTATGCATGTATAACACTTAGCTATTTTAATTGGAAAGGGTACCACTTTAAGTTTGGGCTAGGTGGTGTCTGCAGCAAACTCTTATATCCTACATCAGTGATCCCCAACCTTGGGCCTCCAGATGTTCTTGGACTACAACTCCCAGAAACCTTCACCACCACATCTGCTGGCCAGGATTTCTGGGAGTTGAAGTCCAAGAACAACTGGAGGCCCAAGGTTGGGGACCACTGTCCTACATTATATTTGCTTAATGTGCAACACTTGGATGTGTCCATTTTATATCTATATTGTAGTTACAGAATGAGCAGCCCAAAAACTATTTAACATGAATGCATCCTCTTTGTGATGGGAAAATAGATCAGGATGTAGAAATATCCAGGGATGGGGAGAGATTCTACCCTAGGAGACAGAGATCCATTCTTCAGTGCCCACTCACAGAATCCATGGAATTCCTCCAGAATTGAGCATGCTGTGTCATATGCATTTGGGTTTTTTTTACATCTTTCTGCTTTTACATCTATCATAATTAAACTTACAGGATTTTTTGCAAAAAGAAGAATACAAAACCTTGGAATATAATTTAACAACGACAGGGCTTGAATTAGACAAAGTCACAGCCTTCTGGGATGAGGTAATTGTTGCAGAGTTTAGAATTTCTGGTAAAATCTTATATTAGTACAGAGACTAACAGAGGAGAATAGTGACATGTTCCCCTGAGTCCACTTCTTTCTCATTAACTGGCACTTAAAGTCTCATTAATTCACTCTGAGATATTGGTAGGAGAAAGAATAAAAATATGTCTTTACTTATAGTAGGTGGAAATTACAGACATGTATATGTTACTTGCTTTCTTCACATACACTTAGCAACCAAAAAATCAACAGCAAACAAACAACTGCTTCTAGCTGATGAAAGGGAGGGAAAAGAACACTCAGCAGAGAGGCAGGGCTGTCTTTGAACTGAAAGGCTAGAAGGAATGATTTATTAGTTCTAAGTAGATAGGCACTCACCCTAGCCCAGAAAAGTGCCTCCCAGTTACACAACCTACAGATAACATGCTAGGTTGCAACAAAACTCCAACAATAATTTCAGTCTATTTTGCTAAATTCTTAAATTACTCTTTCAATAGATTTTCCATTATTTTATGTACAAAAAAATGTTGGTAACGTAACCACTCCTCTTCTATGTTAATCTATACTCATGCTAGGAAAAGCTTAACCAGCAATTTACTTCGTCTCTTAAAAGTACAAATGCTCAGCCAAAAACAGGCCTGGAAAACATAATGCATAGAAAAGTCAAAGGTGAAGATTTTAAATGTATCAGTAGTAGGGCACAGAATGTGGTATTGAAAGTGTGCCCTAATAAATCACTGAGCTAAATGTGGTCCTGTGGAGTGTATAGGCCTCTCCCAGTGAGGTTTGGTGTATTATTTTGTGTAGTCTAATGCTTATTTTCAGGCATAAAGACTTCAGTTCCTCATCTATTTTTGAATATAATGGGGAGTATTGACATGGGTACTCATGCTCATGTACCCAAAAGAAGACTGGGCATAATACGATGCTGTGATGTCTTGTCCTTTGGTAATTTTGGTACAAGATTTGTGGTGGCTAAAAGCTTAGTTTAAGGCATATACCCTTTCTTCTTTATTTAATTACATTCATTTTGACTGTTAATGGTTTAGTGGAAGTTTGCCTGTCACTTCGGAGGATAACCATACAAAGCATTTCTGTACTAGCATAAACTGTAGCTCATGTTTACCAGCTTTTCTTTTCAACTAGGATGCACTTCTAGTTTCCAAGGCTGGCACCGGGCGCTTGTATATGCATATATGTAAGAGGGACACAAAGCTATTACTCAATGAATGCATAATAAACATTAAATTGGAACTGTAATGCATGGGTTATAAACCAGGATCCAGTCCAAAATATGAGCATCCCCCCCCATCTAACATATTTATTAGTTACTGATAATTATACAGATACATAACAAGGGAGAAAGGTGATGTTAGAAGAATACATGTAAAAATTATGGAATGTTACAGTAAAGTTTAAGCACCTGTCAAATATATTGCTGCTAAATTTGGATTTTCCATTCATTTTTCCCCAGGGAATGGGGGAGCTTTTTGCAAAAGCGAATGTTGAAAATGGTAGTGGCAAAATATCCACTGCAAATGGTGGTCTCTTCTTCAGTAACTTTCCACTCCGTTTTACTCCTGTGCTCAAGGACATCAACTTCAAAATTGAAAAAGGACAGCTTCTAGCTGTTGCTGGATCTACTGGAGCAGGCAAGGTATGGCCAGCTTGCTAAAATCTGTTATTCAGCAAAATGTTGGTAAATATTGTGATACAGTATGCGATAAAAGCATACATTCTACACATTTTGTCATTGATGGCAGCACTAGCCCTATGTTTCCCTCTTTTCACATTGTTAATGTTTAGCAAAACCATGAAACCATCCCACTGTTAGGTTCCCATCCCAACAAGTGGCACCTAATAAAGTCAAAGTGCACTGTTTTGCCTTTACCTCGCATGTGTTGAGAGGAAGGGTGATGACAGAGGGCTGATGCTTCTGATGATGACTACATCAATGGAATCTCTAAATCTGACCATTTATTGTGTACTAACTTTGATACATCAGGATAAGTGTGTGTAACTTCTGAGCACTCATTAAATTGGCCATCATCATTGCTCAGTTCGTAGATACTGGCAGTAGTTTCAAATGGTACAGCTGCAGCCAACTCACAAATTGATAATTCTTTCAATGGAATTTCAATAATACTGTAGGGATTTTTCCCCCTCTCAAGCCTGAGTTATGGGAATAGGCAGTCTTCTCCAAGGCCTCTGTGTATGATACTGGCAGAAGGATGGAGATATTTAAAAGGAAAGTTGTCTAAAGATTTCCCCAGCTTAGAAGTAAGGAATAAGTCACAAGTTGAATGCCTTTCAAAATGACTGTCTGTGTCTTCATAGAGTGGGAGTTAATTTCTGACCAGGATGATTGCATTTATTTCTAAAAGCATGATAATATTTCTTTTTATTTCTGATGTTCACTAACTGCAATACGTTTAGTTCCAACTACCTTTTAATACAACAGAAGTCATAATGGATAGCTGCAGTCAATAGCTTTTTGAAGGTCTTTAACAGTTATAAGCATGAATCACTACCTATATTTCTATCATGGTTTAAAAAGAGGAATATCAGGAAATGTGAGGTCAAACCAAATTTGTACTAACTTGATCAATTAATAATGTTTAAAAAAATAAAAGTAATTTACTTGCACATTTGAAGGTTGCACAATTTGCTATATCCCAGGACACATAAATAATTTACATTTTATGTGCTGCTATACTTACCTTTTTGACATAGATAGTTTCAGATTTGTCTTTTAAATATGAAACACTCTCTTTCTATTTAATGTCTGAGCTGAACCTAGCATTAGTTCCTAAGACTGCTTCTTAGGCATTTCCTATCACGTTATATGTTGGGGTTTCTTATCCTGTCAGAGTTATTGATATAAAACTAAATTGTACCCATTATATGTACCAACAACATGAGAGTGGCTATGTGTAGTGGGTCTTGTACACATTGTGTAAATGTCCTTATTAACTGAATCAATGTTAACTAAGGTTAATACTCTCAATTACAGTCTTCTCTCCTGATGCTAATCATGGGAGAACTGGAGCCTTCGGAAGGCAAAGTCAAGCACAGTGGGAGGATTTCGTTTTGTCCTCAAGTATCATGGATCATGCCCGGAACAATTAGAGAGAACATCATTTTTGGGGTTTCCTATGATGAACTGCGATATAAGACTGTTATCAAAGCCTGTCAATTACAAGAGGTTAGGCTTCAGTTTTCAGTATTTTCATTCTTTGTGGCAAATGATTGTATTTTAAATCTTTAAAGATAAGCTATAACCAATTTAAACACTGTATGAGGAGTGCAATCTAAGATACAACAAATTCAAAGATGGATTTTAAAAATACAATTTAAGATTTACCTAATTCAAGATGCTTATACTGTATGTGGATCCCTTTTGCTTGAAGGATAATCTGCTGTATGTTCATGCACAATGTGCCCGGAAATAAAAGAACATACATTTTATTAAATTGAACGAAGGGTAGTTTAGTTTAAGATCTATGAGTTGGGCACTTGGGAGTTGAATTCCTCAGTGTGTGCCTGGGAAAGAGCCTACCTCTGTAGCTTTGAGCAACCTGTGCAATCCCAAATTACATCTCTGCATTTTCAATTAAGGATAAGGAGACTATGCAGCTGTCAGCAGTGTTTATCTCTCAGTGTTTGCAGAACAGCTAGCATAATGCTGATACATACAGTAGACCCTGTGAGAGATTGCACAACTTGCTCATCTTAGGGAGGTAAGGCGTAGCTCATATATTAGCTATCATCATCTGTATTGAATTGTTTTGTAGTGAGGGAGCTGTCAAAAAATTACTGTGAAATCAGTTTCTGTGTGCATGTGTGTCCACATCTAGAAATTATGGAAACTAAACTGTGATAATCCAGGAGTTTCCACCTCTTTTATTTCCCCGCTCACATTTATAGAGCATTCAAGTAAACAGTTTAATGTGCAAGAGACCAGAAGGCAACATCTTAAATAGTGTTTGTAATGTCCTGTTTTTGCATGCCCTCATTATATGTACTGTATGTACTTGAAAGACAGGAGGTTACATGGCATCAAGTTAAGAACTGAGGCCTCAGACCATATATCTTCAACTCACACCCTGTTGGGGCTGGCAGGTGAAGAAACTGGTGCATTATTTTATTTATTAAACTTGTACCCCGCCCATCTAGACTGATAGCCTCTACCTCCTTTGACTGGTCTGCAATCTATTTGTCAGAAACCTATAATCAAAGTTTACTTGAGGAATTAGTAAGTTTATCAAGTGCAATTATACAGAGATGAATGAGAAAGCAAATAGTTTACATAACTTTCTGAGTTTGACATATTAGAGTTTGAATAAAATGTTCAGTCCATGGGACAGCATGAAGCACTTCCAGCAGAACATGTTACTTATTAATGTTCAGAGTTGAAATACCTCCCTGGCAGTACTTTCCTATCCAAAAATATTTCAGATTGAATCAGAAGTATGCCACAATGTGTTGTTTCCTTCAGAAAAGTTGTCGTGGCACTTCATTAAAGTGCATATAGGAGTTTTCATAAGAGGTTTTCAACCCACTGTCTTTTACATTCACTCTGACTACAGTATTTAGAAGCAGTCTGTGCCACATGGTCTTGCATGGTTGCCAAGGCAAACAACAACAACAACAACAACAACAACAACAACAACAACAACAACAACAAAGAAACCTTAAAAGAAGGGTGATTATTGTGGGATCCTAGGAAAAATATACAGAAATGAGAGTGCAATACAACAGGACTGGGCAAAATTCACACTGTGATTTACATGTCCCTCTCATGGACCCAAATGTGGCTCTGAACCACCCACAATATTTTTAAAAACAGAAAGTCCCCTTGGCTCTCTAGTGGGCATGGGAAGCAAATTTTTGTTGTTTCAACCAAATGTAATAGGACATTTTCAATTAAAAATTATGTATTCATATGTGAAAAAAATTGGAGGTGGATGGGCAAGGCACAGAAGCAAATGCAGTCCTCAAGAGAACAAAGCAGAATACACCCCCCTAGATTGAAAGATGACTCTAACAAATGTACATGAACATAAACTATTTTGACTGCACATAATAATTTCTATTTACAGTGGTGCCTCACTTAACGATTTTAATTGGTTCAAAATATATCGCTATGGGAAAACATCGTTAAGCGAAACACGTTTTCCCATAGAGATGCATTGAAAACCGGATAATCCGTTCCAATAGGAACGGATTGCCATCCTTAAGTGAAAATCGCCATAGGAAACATCTTTAAGCGAAACACAGTTCCCCAATTGAAATGCATTGAAACCTATTCAATGCATTTCAATGGTGAAAAAAAATTCACAAAAATATTAAAAAGACTCAGAACACAGCCAAATTAATTTAACGAAGGTTTTATTAGGTGCACTAACGATTCCAAGCATTTAAAACATTTTTAAACATTTTAGAATATTTTAAAAATAGCAAAAAAAGGGGCTGCCAAAAAAAACGTTAAGAGAAATGGGGGACCTAAAACCAAAAACGTTAAGAGAAACATGGTCCCAAAATCGCTAAGCGAAAATTGCCCATAGGGAAAATTGTTAAACGGAGCACAAGATCACTCCGAAAAAGCCATTGTTAAGCGAATTTTTCGTTAAATGAAGCAATCATTAAGCGAGGCATCACTGTATTTTGATTGATGCAAAAACTACCCCACCTCACAAAAGAGTGCCAGACTTCACTAGGAGGTGTTTTTATATGCCTCTCTTACAAGCCAGTCTAAAGGGAGATCTGTAGGGCAAGTTGTAGAAGCTTGTGTTTTGTCATAGCTGTCATTATCCCAGTAAAGGAATAATCCCAAAATTAGACAAGCATTGAGAAACATTTAAAAACTCATCTGAGTATCTACAGCAGCCGTTCTCAACCTTTTTTTGGCCATGGCCATAAACACAATATAAAAAAATACAGACTGACTTGGGATTGTATAAGTCGCATAACAAACCTTATAAGGTGGTGTGTGAAGAGTTGCTCCCAGTCTGTGACTCCCTCCAAATATACCAAGGCCTCCCCGGGAGGCAGATGGCCCCCACTGAGAACGGCTTATCTAAAATATAAGCAAAGCAAAAGCAAAGGATGCTGCTTATATACCGCACCATAGCAGTGCTTATATATTATTAATTTATTTAAAATATTATACCCTGCCTTTCTCCTTTAAAAGGACCTAAGATGGCTTGAAATACAACATTTAAAGCTGAAAACAATGAGTATACAATAGCGGATTACACTATTAAAAGACAATATTTAAAGCTAAGAACAATGAGTGTAAAGAGGCAGCTTACATCACTAAAAGACAACATTGAAGCTAAAACAATAAGTATGCAAATACTAAAAATGAACAAACAAATACCAGTCTGAGAGACACAAGTAGTACTAAAGACCCAGTCTGAGCTGTAATAAATAACAATCCATCTAAAGGTGGATACTATATCGCCCCATAGTACTTCAGCCAAATCTCTGCTCATGACCTGGGTTCAGTCCCAGGTAATTGTTTGAGGTTCACTCAGCCTTCCATCTTTCCAAGGCTGGTAAACTGAGTACCCAGCTTCGGGGTGGGGGGTGAGGTGAGTGGGAATGTGTAGCCTGCATAACTAAATTATAAACTGGCCAGAGAATGCTTTAAGGTGGTATATAAGCAGCACAATTTGCTTTGCTTTTCTTCTCTATTTTTTGCCTCTTGCATTACTGCTGTATGTTGGATTGCCTATTTCAGCACCTCAGCATTTACTAATGACCTTTGGAACTAGAAAATAAATGAGTGACAATTTAATACTAAATGAGCCCATTTCATTTTATTTGGAGTACAGTTCATACAATGATATTTATGTGCCACACAAAGCTCACTCTAAATTCATCTTAGCAATTGTACACTTGCTGTACTTTGTCCAGTTGTGATTCCTTAGGCAATTGTGCTGCCAGGAGCAGTCACACCCTTTGGGAAGGAACCAAGACTACTCCACTTAGGTTTCTAGTTTCTTTTTATATAAATTTTTGAAATTATTGTTCTATTATTTTGTTATATTTTTAAATGATTGTTGTTTAATATTTGAGGTTTTTTTGTATACTGCCTGGGTAGATATTAAAAAAGGTATCAAAATATTTTAATATTTTTCTATATTGTCATACATCAAAATACAAGATAAGACTTGCATGAAAAGCTGTTGGTTACTACTCCTTCATTATGAAAAGCTTATTATAAAACAAAATTGAAAAGTCCCAGAAAAGATGAATACAAAAAAAAAAATCTTCTGTCAATAGGACATTTCAAAGTTTCCTGAAAAAGATGACACAGTTTTGGGGGAAGGTGGCATCACTCTCAGTGGAGGTCAACGTGCCAGAATCTCCTTAGCCAGGTGAGCTGAAATGACAATATGATGATTGTAATAAACAGGGTCTACATTTGTATATTTTGATATCAATATGCAGCTTCTCATGCTATCCAATAGCATTGGTATTCATATACAAATTAAGATATTTTCTTTAGACATACAGTACTTTTTTCCTGATAATTAATTGACAAAATGATTAGTGTCTGAAAATTATTACTTCTTAAATGTTTTCAAATACAACTTTAGGCTAAATGGTCTGGAAATATAGTTGCACTTCATATTTTCTTCTATACAAAGAAAAATAATAGACATGAAATTAAAAATTATCTGTGGTGTGTGAGTGCATGTGCATCTGTGTGATTGGATGTGTACGGGAGATTCCATTCACCACTTTTAAGTGGCAACTGGAAGAGTATCCAGAAGGGCATGTGGGCCTTCATCTGAGAAAGATCCTCACCTGTGCTTAAGGGACAACCTGGAAGGTATTCGTGAAGGCTTTCACAGCCGGGATCTAATGGTTGTTGTGGGTTTTTCGGGCTCTTTGGCCGTGTTCTGAAGGTTGTGCTTCCACTCCCAAGCCAACTACACCAGAGCACAGAGTGCTGTCCTCTGAAGATCCTGGCCACAGAGTCTTGCAAAACGTTAGAAAGAACAATCCTCAGAACACGGCCAAAGCACCCGAAAAACCCACAACAATCAATCTGGAAGGTGTTCTTCAAACCCTTTTGGACAGAGAATCCAGCTTGGTCCAGAAGATAATCCAGCCTTTCAGATTATAGAAGCCATGTATCAGATTTCTTCTCATTTTATCACTAGAGATGGGCATGAACCTTGGTTTGGAGCTTTGTGCCAATTCGTATGCACAGCACCACAGATGCCATATGTTCCCCTCCCTGGCCAATGTCCCAGTCAGAGTGCACTCCTCTCCTTCTCCTTTTTGGCTGTTTGACCAGTCCCGGCAGGAGCACAGGTTTACCTATCCTGCCTCTTTCTTTGAGTGGGCAATTAGTCAAGGAGGTGGGGGCAGGGAAGACTGTGCTCCTGCCAGAGACTGGTTAAACAGTTGGAGAGGAGAGGAGTACATGCCGGCTGGTGAGTGGAGGACTCTAGCTGGGGAGGCAGCAGAAGGGAATTTGTGCCAATTCGTGTGCACAGCACCACAGATGCCATATGTTCCCCTCCCTGGCCAATGTCCCAGTCAGAGTGCACTCCTCTCCTTCTCCTTTTTGGCTGTTTGACCAGTCCCGGTAGGAGCACAGGTTTACCTATCCTGCCTCTTTCTTTGAGTGGGCAATTATTCAAGGAGGTGGGGGCAGGGAAGACCGTGCTCCTGCCAGAGACTGGTTAAACAGTAGCACCACAGATGCCATATGTTCCCCTCCCTGGCCAATGTCCCAGTCAGAGTGCACTCCTCTCCTTCTCCTTTTTGGCTGTTTGACCAGTCCCGGTAGGAGCACAGGTTTACCTATCCTGCCTCTTTCTTTGAGTGGGCAATTATTCAAGGAGGTGGGGGCAGGGAAGACCGTGCTCCTGCCAGAGACTGGTTAAACAGTTGGAGAGGAGAGGAGAACATGCCGGCTGGTGAGTGGAGGACTCCAGCTGGGGAGGCAGCAGAAGGGAACTTGCAACACCTGTTATGCTGCACATATGAACCATCATAAATCTCTGAACCAAGGTTTGTGCCCATCTCTACTTATCACTGTTGACCCGGTTTTAATCCATTCTTGATCCCTGACATCCCCTGTGGTGCTGCACATATGAACCAGCATAAATCTCTGAACCAAGGTTTGTGCCCCATCTCTACTTATCACTGTTGACCCAGTTTTAATCCATTCTTGATCCCTGACATCCGTCAAGGAGGTGGGGGCAGGGAAGACTGTGCTCCTGCCAGAGACTGGTTAAACAGTTGGAGAGGAGAGGAGTACATGCCGGCTGGTGAGTGGAGGACTCCAGCTGGGGAGGCAGCAGAAGGGAACTTGCAACACCTGTGGTGCTGCACATATGAACCAGCATAAATCTCTGAACCAAGGTTTGTGCCCCATCTCTACTTATCACTGTTGACCCAGTTTTAATCCATTCTTGATCCCTGACATCCATGCAGTACTTCTGCTATATCACTTCGTTATCGGATCCTTGTTCTGTGTGCTGTCTGGATGACATACAGTACATTAGGCTGATGAATATCTTGTTCACAATTTAATCTTATTCTAGAGCAATGTGGTTGTCAACATATCTAGCATATTGAGGAAGTTCAAAAGAAGCTAATATGTTCTGAGAAAAATTCAATGCTTTATGGTCAGGTCAGGAGGAATATTTTGGGAACATGCTTAGGACATTCAATGTACAAATATTTTCTATATTGAGTGTGTGAATAGGGTGGCTTGTACAAGCTTATGCAATTGTGATCACAGATCTCTTGGACACAGTATATATTAATAAAAGCTCTCCTAAATAAATCCTTAATTTTTAAAAAAGCATTAAAATATTTTCAGATATTCTTACAATGGAAGTTAATTTCTTTTCTCTGTGTGTCTTTTTTTTTAGAGCAGTGTATAAAGATGCTGACTTATATCTCTTGGATTCCCCTTTTGGTTATTTAGACATGTTAACAGAAAAAGAAATATTTGAAAGGTATGGAACATTTTGGCATATTTTCTTATTAAGTACCAATGAAAGGGGAAATAGTTCATGCAAGGCAGTGACATACCGAATGAACACATTCCGTAATACAGAATTCTCTTTGTGTTTAACATTCTGTAAATGTTTATTATTGTAACTGTTTCAAACCTCTCATTCTGGCTTTAGTGGTTCTTCTAATAAGGACACTGGACATCTCAGGAAGCATTATAACCCTTCCTGTCTGTATGCTGAGCTATGGGTTTTGAGGTTTTTTTACTACACTTGCCATTTTTCTTTAATTTGCTGCTGGTACTCAGAGTCCTACCCCTACATCAAACAACTAGCCTCCTATATGGAGAATGTCGATTCCTGAACTGTCAGAACTGAGCAACTGATAAAAAGAGCTTAAAAATACAGAGATTAATAAAAACAAGCAAACTTTGGAGGTGGCTCGCTCCTAAGCCTAGAAAGCTGCCTGCTTGCAATTTGGCATGGTGTATCCTCTTTTTATATTCCACCATTTTGCCAAGTTTCATGGCATATGTTTAATAACTCCTTTATTATATTCGGGAAGGCTTTCACAGCTGGGATCTAATGGTTGTTCTGGGTTTTTCAGGCTCTTTGGCCGTGTTCTGAAGGTTGTTCTTCCTGATGTTTCGCCAGTCTCTGTGGCCGGCATCTTCAGAGGACAGCAACCTGTACAGGTTGCTGTACAGGTTGCTGTCCTCGGTTGCTATCCTCTGAAGATGCCGGCCACAGAGACTGGCGAAACATCAGGAAGAACAACCTTCAGAACACGGCCAAAGAGCCCGAAAAACCCAGAACAACCAATTCCTTTATTATTAATAGCCACTTGCCTGTCTCAGTTCAAGTGAATAGGAATTACAGATGTTGAGGAATTTGATTATCAGATCTGGTGTTGGATCAGATGAGAGGGAAATTAGGTGAAACTAGATCCCAGTCCAAAATATGAATTGGTACTCAGATTGGATATGAGGATTTTCTGTTGCCCAGATATAGAGATACTGTAGATAGAACCTATAATATGGTGACAGACAGATTAGTGAATTATTTACATACCAAGGAAGTAATACTACTGTAGCCATATTTGGTATGAGATCATGGTGTGTCTTCGTGAGTTGTGGCAAAAGACATCTGGAAGAAAGATGTATAATAGAATATTTTAACATTTAGAGTAGGAGCTGAGCTCCAGACAATTTGGTAAGAACTTACTGGGGAGGGGGGAAGATTTATGTTACAGCCTTAGTAAGTTTGCTTTTAAAATTTTAAATGTTTTAAATCATTTATTGTGTTTTCAATTACTATTATAGATTAATTGTTTTTTTAATGTGTAATTTGTTGTGTTTGTAGTTTTGATTGTTTTCATATTATTAGCTGCCTCATGCCTCTTCATTGGGAGAAAGTTGGCCTACATATGATATAAAACATATACATACACTTGGAAAGAGAGAGAAAGAATGTGTGTTTGTGTTTTCCAGATTTCTGGTAGTTGAACACGCTACCTTACTAGATCCTATAGTGTATAAAGTGATATACATTTCTCTCCCAGTTCTCAAATTGTGTAACCTCAGATAATGCAAATTGATCTATCTTTTGTGAACTAAAAAAAGGAACAACCAGGTGTTTAGGTTAAAAAAAATCAACAATGATTACTCTTAATATCTGTTTATAATTGTATTTGTGTTTCTTTTTTTAAAGTTGTGTATGCAAGCTTATTGCCAATAAAACTAGAATCCTTGTCACTTCAAAACTGGAGCATTTAAAGATAGCAGACAAGATATTAATTTTACATGAAGGGAGCTGTTATTTCTATGGAACATTTTCTGAGCTTCAGAGTCAACGACCAAACTTCAGCTCTGAGTTGATGGGATTTGATGCTTTCGATCAATATAGCCCAGACAGAAGGAACTCCATTCTGACTGAAACATTGAGGAGACTCTCTGTGGACAATGATGGAATGGGTTCAATAAATGAAATGAAAAAGCCATCCTTTAAGCAAACTTCAGATTTTCCTGAAAAAAGGAAAAATTCAGTCATAAATGCATTCAATTCGAGCCGGAAGTTTTCTTTCATGCAAAAAACACCACTGCAGGTCAATGGGATAGAAGAAAGTATTGGAGAACCAGCTGAAAGAAGGTTGTCTTTAGTACCTGATTCTGAACAAGGGGAAGCAATTCTGCCTCGGAGCAATGTATTCCATCCAGGCCCTACATTCAAAGGGCAGAGAAGACAATCTGTGCTTAACCTGATGACCCGAACTTCAGTTCACGCTGGACAGAGTTTTTACAAAAAAAACAGTATATCAGTACGTAAAATGTCAGTAATTCATCAGTCCTCTGAGGTAGACATTTATGCCAGACGATTGTCACGGGACAGTATAGTAGAAATAACTGACGACCTGAATGAAGAAGATTTAAAGGTATGTAGTTCAAATTAAACTTACTAGCTGTGCTTCATTTATCAGTATTTATGTACGGTGGTCTTCTTATATAAACATGCTGAGATGCAGTCCTGCATTATAGCTCCCTTAATTTTCAATTTTAAAGTTTTTTTTTTAAAAAAAAAACAATCGCAGGGTGATTATGCAATATTATTGAACTGTTATTGAATCAGATAACCTACTGTAGTTCATGCTTAGGCTGCTTCGGAAGAGTTGAGATGGAATTTCACTAAGTCAGTCTTTTTATGTGAGCCTATGTTTCTTGAAATGCGCAGAAGGCTGGATTGTGGCTATCAGTAAGATTATGAAAGTCTTCAAATTTTGTGAAGGGGAAAGAATAATCAAAATTACACATGCATGCAAGCGACTACAAAATATGTATTATGTGAGAAAATTAAGAGAAAGAGTCTTAATTTTTCAAAAATGATTAGAAGATGGAATGGAACATAGTAATAACTGGATACAGAAATAAAATATACACATCACTATAATAATTCATTCCATGTCTATATCAATAATAGTCCCTATGCATATGTTACTGATAGGTTATGGATATAGAAGAAGAAATAATCAGATCATTCTAATTGCATTCTTGTGTACTATTTTTCCAGGACTGTTTCTTTGATGATACCGAGACAATGAATACTGTTACTACCTGGAATACATATTTCAGATACATTACTATCAACAAAAAGTTGATTGCTGTGTTAATAATGTGTGTAGTTATATTTACAATTGAGGTAAGAATATTTTGCTTGTAATTTCTGTCTTGTGTATACAGTCTGTACAGCAAATGTAAATGAAAGCAGAGCCAGCTTTGCCTTTTTCATCATTATTACATTAAGAGTAGCCAGCTGCAGAAGAGAACTAGGTTCATAAATCTTTACTAGTTATGTAAACAATCACATTTCAACAGGTATAGCTTTTCACACAAGCCATACCTGGTTATACAGAACTTTTAAAAGAACAGGAGCCAATCCCACATGACCAACTTTGATGTAAAGTTAACAATGAATCTCTTGTTCTCAGGAACATTACACAGCCATTCCTATTCCTTTACTGAGCCTTCGTATTTAACTAGCAACAACTATATTATGTCCCTGCAATATTCCTCACACATTCAGGCCATAAGTAGAGAAAGTTATTTGTTTGGACTACATTTTCTAGAATACCACATCCCGCGTGCTCACTTTGCCATCTCTGATCCAGGCACTCTGCAAACTGGGAAGTCAGGCTGCAGTCCATTGCAAAGCAAAATATATCATTTTAACCAATTGTTTTACCCTTGGACTAAGCTGTCCCATAATAATGATAGCAAAAGAGAAGAGGGAGAATGTTATCTTTTCGCTTGAATAAAGGTAGGATAAAACACAATGGTAGTAGCAGTAGGCATATTCTTAAGAATTAACTATGCGTTTCCTATTCACAGGTGGTGGCTTCTCTGGTTGGGGTATTATATATCAATGGGTGAGTATTAATTGCATGATATTAACTGAGAATTTTTCTCCTTTACATCATATAAAATGTAACCTCTTAAGGATGGTTTTAATAGCAATACATTTTGATCATGTTTGGGGATAGAACAGGACAACAAGAAAATCTTGTTTGTTTATTTATTTGGTTGGCTGGTTGGCTGGTTGGTTGGTTTTTTACCTTGACATATTTTAATAAGGGGGGGGGACTGAGACTTGCAATAACTGTTTGTGTTCACTTCTTGCAGGATAGCAACTCTATCTCCTGTAAATATAACAGAAACAAGAAATGCTACCTCTGATCAATTGGATAACGGTGCAGTTATTATTACTGAGACAAGCAGCTATTATATCTTTTACATTTATGTGGGAGTAGCAGATTCCCTGCTGGCTTTGGGAATCTTCAGAGGCATACCACTGGTGCATACTCTAATAACTGTTTCTAAAACTCTCCATCACAAGATGTTGCGTGCGGTCCTTCAGGCACCTATGTCTTCCTTCAACAAACTGAAAGCAGGTAGAATTAGACTGGCACATTCAATCTGCAGTAACAACTTCTTGTTAAAAGTCTGGAGGCTGAGAAAAGCTCTCCTCATTAGCATCAGAATTTTTCCTCCAAAGAAGGTTGGGGTAGAAATTTTTGGAGATATTGTTTGAGCTCCTTGGTAGGAGAGGAATTCTCTGGATCAGTGGTTCCCGGTCTTGGGTTCCCAGACATTCTTAAACTGCAACTCTTGGAAGCTCTTGTCAGTATAGCTTCTAATATTTTCCATATGTTTTTAGAAAGTAATACTGAAGCTGGGCTGAGAACTCCTGCACTTTAGAAATGGGTCCAGAAATGTCCTTGAAAAGATGTTCAGTGGTCATGTTGCATTGTGCTTTACAATACAGTAGGAGAAAGTCCTGTGGGTTTAGTTTGGTTGCAGCAGCACTTGTAAAGGGAAGAAGAAGAAGAAAAGAAATTCTCACTCCTTCTTGTAATGCATCTGCAACCTTCTCTCTACCCAAATATTCAGTCCCCACAAGACACGAGCCTCAGATCATTGGGAGGGCTGTTCCCCTTTAAAATGGCTTGTGAAAGCCTTAGAACATTTTCTGAGACCTAGTTTTTCTTCACTTGTCAGCTAAGTGTCATGCCAGCCTTGTTCGTTAGCCAATTTATCTAGAATATTGGGTTTAAGATATGTAGGTTTCAGTCTTACAAACATATAATCAGTCTAACCTTTTGGAAATAATACATTTACTTCTGAATAAACATGTGTAGAATTCCTGTACTGGTAATATTATGACAGTGATGTTAAATATATTGGGTTCACATTAACCTTCACTAAAGTCAAAGGAATTTGAATAATCATGTTTTGGATAGACAGGGCAACTTGGGGGCAGCCAAAAAATGATGAACAGCATTACTAGAGAACCAAGCATTTAATCTATGCTATCTGATTGCTGTACTATAACCTAAAATTGAAGGAGTAGAAAATACATGAATGAACTCTGTGAATCTTCCCTCTCCTCTGATGGATGGAATTAGGAATGTTAAGAGTAGAAATTGCTTGAAACTCAGTTACTGTAGCTCAATTAGCTTCTCAGGGTGAAGGAGCATAAAATCTTGACTTCCTTGTTCCTGTGTATCTGAGATGTTCTCCAGTCTTTGCATGTTTACCCAGAAATGAATCACATTGTGATCAGGGATACGTGCTCCAGATGATGTACAGTTCAGTAAAATTAGAGGTAACAGCTTCTTAGTTCCTTCTGGCTGCATGAGAGAAGAACAGGGAGTGCATCAACCCGAGATTCAGTTACGCTAATTCATGCCATGCTAAACAATGGCCCCATGTTCTGGTTCCCAAAGTCAATGGATTCCCAGATACTGTTTGACTTTAACTTCCAGAATCCTTGATCACTGGCATTGCTGGCTGGACTTCTGGAAGCTGAAGTCTAGCAACATTCAGGTTTGTGAAATGACTGGTTCAGCATGATGTTTGCATGTGATCCATACATGACTCTTTGTAGAGCTGATTAACTTCATTTTTTTTGCCAAAATATGCATAGCCCCTTACTATGTGCATGCTGTGAATGTTATATTTGCTGTCCTGTTAGGGCCAGCACCTGACTGCTATATATAGAAGTTCCCCATGCATGGTGTTCACATACCCACATACATTCTTGCCTCACCTATTGCCCTATTTATATGTCCCAGAAAAAGGTTAAATCTGAAATTGAATTTAACCTTAATTGAATTCAATCCCAATTGAATTGGGAGAGAATTCTAGCCCTATGCTCTGTTACTGTCTTCACAGTAAGGAGATAAAAGGTGCTCCTACACATAGAGGATCTCCACACAAGTGGAAAATCTGGGTTCTAGATTGCAGGGGGAGATTTCACACATGGTAGACTGTCTGCTCTTCAGTCTGTCTTTCTTCACAAGGCAGTAATCAAGGGCAGGGCTAGACTTTTCCCTGCTCACATTTTGACATTAATTTTTCTTTTGAATGCCTGCATAAAGATCATAAGATATAATGTAGCATAGGTGTAGCCCATACCTTGCATTATGCAGCTATACCTAGTTATAATGAATACATATGATGAAATGGTAAAGGGTGTTGGTGTCCCTGCTCCACTGCAGCTAGAGGACTGTTCAACTACCCAGTGCATAAACCAGTCTCAAGTATAATCCTGCCTCCATTCAGCTAGTCTCCTTGGAATAATGTTATGTCGCTTGTATTGACATAGTGTTCTCCTTGTAGAGGTAAATATATTGCTAAACTAAATACAACAAACTATCCACTGTAACTTCTACCAGATCTGGTATACTCATTGCCCAAAAAGGCTGGGTGATTAAAATAATCTATTTCTGTGCTATTTCAATAAAATCTACCTCTATATTATTATTTTCTTCAACATTTAGGGGGAATACTTAACAGATTCTCAAAGGATATAGCAATACTGGATGACCTGCTGCCACTTACAATATTTGACTTCATCCAGGTTTGTAAAAATAAAATGTATATTCCAATTAGGTTGGATGTTTTCTGATGGAGAAACCACTTTTTATGAAGACCAGATAAAAATAACAATAAGAAAAATTACATGTAATACATGTTCAGCTGCATAATGTCACCAGAAGCATGTTTTTGCAGAAGCAGTATCTTCTTCTTTGTCTTTTGCTTGTATATGTCTCCGGTCCTTCTTAATCTAATCTTGGCTTCACTGCTCACTCCATTACAGTACTTCATCTGAAGAGGAAGAGAGAGAGAACATGTGTTCTAGAACTTGGACTGGAGTAAGGTGTTATCCATTCAATGAGATAGAGTGGCTGCATATTCAGCACAGACAAAACTATATTTGGTTGTTGTGGGTTTTTTGGGCTCTTTGGCCGTGCAAAAAACTGGACTCCACAGACAAAGAACTATTATGCCTACACATCACTATCAGCCAAAAAATGAGAAGTCAAGATTGGGACAAGATTGATACCCTCTCTTACAAAAAGATGGAAAAAGAAATGATGAACCACACAGCCAGACAAAAACAGAAGTTCAACAAATGCCAAACAAGCCAACAGAAACCTACACTAGACACCTTGCGCATCACTTCAGAACACAGCCAAAGAGCCCGAAAAACCCACAACAACCATTAGACCCCAGCTGTGAAAGCCTTCATGAATACATCAAACTATGTTTGCTTACATTTCATCTGCTTAGAGTCACAACTAGAGTATGCCCATTGAATCACTGGATCTTATGGAGGAATTGACGCATCAAATCCCCACTGATTTAATTGGACTACTCTGTTTGTGACTTATGATACTAAGCAACAGGATTTCAGCCAAGGTGTAATTACATATACTTTTGTTGCAACAAGTTGTGATATTAACCAGTAAATGGTCTCTAGAAGGCAAAATTCATGATAGCTATATAGATCTTGAATGTTTAGAAGTATGCCACTGACTAAAAACTGTGGGGTAAACAGGGAGACTATTGCCTTCATGATTTTCCTTTGGGCTTCCTAAAGCCATGCAAAAATCCACAGAATAATCTGAACAGAACTTTGCTCTGCTTCAGTTAGATTTTCCTTACATTAGTTAAGAAATGGATTTTGGCTATAGAGTCAATGCTCATAATAATTACAATTGTAAGAATTCAATTCTGTTTTTAAAGAATGCTCATATAATGACTAACCTGACCTCACAGAGTCTGAAAAATTATAACCAGTTCTGTGCCAAATGCATGACATAGCAACAGCAGGCACTGTATTATCTCCTACAGCCGACTAGGAACAATTTGGTAGACAAGGATCTCATTGTTTGAAGACGTCTATATTTTATAAATGGAGTCTGCTTCTATTAACTGTGGTTAGATGGGTGGGTGGGAGACACCAAATGAACATCTATTATGGGTGCAATAACTATTATTTTATTTCATTGTTTGTGAACATGATGTCATGATCAATATTTCTACTAGCAGGCTAGGTTTGCTTTCAAAGAATAAAGCCAGCTCTGCTTCCATGGTTGTCAAGATCTCAGACTTTAGCAAGATTACAAATTGTGGCATTTTAGAAAAGGCAAATGTATGCCTAGCAGGGACTACACCAAAAATAACCGCCTTTAAAATGGAAGAAAATTCTGTGACCAAGTTTAGTTTTTCCAGACAAGAATCGTTGTGGTCAAAATCTGTTCAACATCTACAGCATTCATAAGAGGCTTGTGGTCTGACTAGTAGACTGCCCTGACTATGGGCTGCCCTGCCTCCTGAAAACTAGTCTAAAGGATTGATTAAGCTATAGTTGAGAATTATGTTTCCTTGTAGTTTTTGATTTATCAGCATTTTCCTTAGTTAGACTGTATTAGGTCCTAGATTTATGTGGATTAGCTTTCAGGGCCTCTTTCTCCATAAGACTAGTGTCTGAATCTAGCTGGCAGTCTTAACCACAGGAGACCCATTGAATCAATGAGATTCACATAGGTATTAACTCACAACAGAGTGAGTTTTGAGTCTACTCTGGTTAGCTGGATGTCAATAATAATCATCATATGCCATCAAGTCAATTCTACTTACGGCAACCTTTTTTCAGAGTTTCAAGGTAGACAACACTCAAAAGTGGTTTGCCATTTCTTTCTTCCGGAGGCATCCTGGGATTTTATAGCTTCCTTAAGGTCACACAGGCTGGCTATATTCTCAGGAAGCCCAATGGAGAATCAAACTCCCAACCTCTGACTCTACAGCCAGATACCTAAACCACTAAGCTATCCAGACAGCAGGACTTTAGACCTAGGATAATTAGTGCCTTGTAAAACATTCTAGTATAATTTTTGGCATAATAGATATTATTAAAGAAAGGATGAAAATTTAGGAAAAAAGTTATGTGAGATTGCAAATTGCATATAATTTGGTGTACAAAGAATAAACTAACTATTCTCCTTACTCATGATCTTTTTGGAAAAATAAGTGTGGATTTTTCATTCCTCACATATATATCTATATTTTTGAAGGAAAAGTTTTAAATGAAAATTGTGTGAAAACATTTATATTTTCTTTAATTTGTACAGCATTATAAGATGTTAATACATTTTTACTGGTGTCTTGACTGAATAAATTATGAATCAGTTACTAAGACCTCTAGCTGCAAACACGGGCCAGTACTAATTGGGGAAGCACTTGTTGGATATAAGGATTATATATGCTAATAGCTCTATATATGTTAATAGCTCTGATATCTGATAAGTAAAATGTGGCAGTCAGGCACATATTTATTGTATCAAACTGAATTTTTCTTTTATCCCACAGTTAATATTCATTGTGGTTGGTGCTATATTAGTAGTCTCAGTTATGGAACCGTACATCTTCCTAGCATCTGTGCCTGTGATTGTAGCTTTTATTATGTTAAGAGCATACTTCCTGCACACTTCTCAGCAGCTGAAACAACTAGAATCTGAAGGTATGTCTAGCAAAATTGGTATATTTCTGAAATATTTTTTAAAATTAATTGATAGAGATATACTGATTATTTTTCATTTAAATTCCCATTGCAAGATTTCACTGGCCAGAATCCTGTTGAAAAATCACTGGGCATAACTGATCTGTGGGCAGAGCATTCAGCAATTGCTCTAGTGATCTACAGTTTTTCAATTACACAAGCTGGGTGGACTGCCCCATTAAGAACAATTTGGTTTACATTTGTGCTTGCTGGTAGTAGTGAATAACTCCTAGCACAACTGGCATAAAAAAAGACAATCATGTGTCTAACAAGCCATTGTGCACATGGAAAAAACAAATAGGATGCTAGCCATAGTGTTTTTTTCTCTCTCCAGTGCAAATACTCAGTATCAGCCAAGGCATAGCCATTTAAGCAGAGTCTGCTTTGTAGGACAAGGGGAAAAAGTTCTGAGCATAACTGAAGCAGAGCAGAGGCAAAAAAGAGAATTGTGAAGAGAAAGTTTACTTTCTATTAAGGAGAAAAAAAAACCCACCAGCCTATCTGCTCCACCTTAAATTCAAAATGCCTTGCCTCCTTTCTAAATCCAGACTTTATAGATCAATTTGTTATAACAGACTTTGAGATTAATTCATGATTGATTAGTTAGTTGATTGGTTTCTATGTCATCTTCCTTCCTCCATACGGACTGAAAGTAGCTCAAATATTCTTTAAAACAGGTAGACTTAAACACACAACAAAAATGTAGTATATTAATCATTGAACATATAAATGTATTACTACCAGTAGGATTTGCTTTGTAGGTCTTTTTTTTATTATTTTCATGTTAACTAGTGTTTTTTTTAATGTAAAGGCAAACCTGGAATATGGATCTAATATTACATTGAAGTTTCAAATTGATTACCTTACCTTGAATTTTCATTGATTGCACAAGATATCAAGACAATATAATGGCACCAGGAATTTAAGATTTGAAGTTTCATTTTGTGTGACATATTTTCAAAGAGGCAGCATTGCAAATATGTGCTGGCTGACATCAACATATAGAAATTAATTTAATTTAATTTAATTTAATTTAATTTCTTTTTAATATTGATATTATTATTTGTTTAATCATAAGTTTTCACTAGAAACAACGCATCATTAAAATAATTTAAACAATAAAGTAATCGCAATCATTACAACGGGAAGAGAGAATAGCCTAGTCAATGAAACATACTTCTATTTTATTTAATTTCTTTTTAATATTGATATTATTATTTGTTTAATCATAAGTTTTCACTAGAAACAACGCATCATTAAAATAATTTAAACAATAAAGTAATCACAATCATTACAACGGGAAGAGAGAATAGCCTAGTCAATGAAACATACTTCTGAGTATCCTGTGACATGATACAGTTTCAAAATAAGCCAAGAACCCATGTAACAGAAATGAAAGATATTTAATTTGACTCAATTTTTAAAAACACCAACTTCAAAAAGTACTAAAGATTTCATTTTAAATTTACATTCTTTATAGCCAGAAGTCCAATTTTCACGCATCTCATTACAAGCTTGAAGGGGCTTTGGACGCTAAGAGCTTTTGGGCGGCAACGATATTTTGAGACTCTGTTTCATAAAGCTCTGAATTTGCACACAGCAAACTGGTTCCTATATCTCTCAACACTACGTTGGTTCCAGATGAGAATAGAAATGATTTTTGTCATCTTCTTCATCATTGTGACATTTGTTTCCATTGTTACTACAGGTATATAGCTTTTCTCTATTCTGAAATCCACCTTTAAAACTTAAATATTTGTGAAGAATTAGTAGCCATTGTTTGGTGCTGTAAGCAAGTTTAGGTGTGTTGTATTAATTTCTTGTGGCAGCCTACTTGAGGATGTTCAATGTACTTCCTAATAGTCTTTTAAAGTGCTATATGCTGAGTGTACTTTGATAGGTTTTTCTTGACCTTACTCCTAGTCCTACCACCATTACTGGACAGTAATCCCTCTGACCATAAAACTTGAATCAAATTATACATTATGGATAGCATGTTATTAAAAGAGAGAATTCCTTAAATCCTGAATGCAGTGTAATTGTTGTAGCCGAAATTTCTCACACCACTTGTCATTTGCAGATTAGCTTGCTTTGCATTGTGATCTGTCATCAAGAGGTAAACCAGGTTTTGTTTGCAAATACAACTATTCACACATGAAAGCTTGCTGGAATCATGTGTTTAGAACATAGAATGATTTCCGTTCATAGCTATGTGCTATCTGTGAGATTTATTTTGACCCCTTGATGGATGTATTTGCATTATGTTTCATTGTAATAGTAAGTAGTAGTAGATCTATCTGATGTTAACGCATTGATACATCTGAAAAACATAGTAGTTTCATGACTCTAGTAAAATTAGTCAGTTTTACTCAATTTAGTAAAATTAATGAATTAAGTTAAATACAGAGAAGTATATATGATTTTAAAATGTGGCTTTATACTTACAGGACATGGGCCAGGAAAAGTTGGCATTATTCTCACATTAGCCATGAATATTATGGCAACCTTACAGTGGGCTGTAAACTCAAGCATAGATGTAGACAGTTTGGTAAGAGTTGCACATGTTCTTTTAAAATTAGGTGTTATTTTTTATTTTAATATCTAATTGTTTTACACAGTTATATCTTTTTCATATATTACTTTGTGTGCAGAATGTTCATTTATAAACTTGAGCTCATCAATTACATTGTTTGCCATTTCTCTGTAGGTATATGATACAAGTTTGTGATTATCACCTTTCCTTCAAAGTTCTCAGGAAATTTTCCTGTTTCTTCTTCAATAACTATTTACTTAACTCTTCTTTCTGGTCAAATGAAGTTCATAGTTTTTGGTATTGAAGCCACATAATTTTGTCTGCAGTTACAGTAGGACCCCTGTATCTGAGGGTTATCAGTTCCACAATCTGTTGTGGATACCTGAAAGCACAAATACAAGGGGACCCATATATAACATATAAGAGGCCAAGACAAAAACCATTAGGGGACATCATTTTATATTGTATGTAGAGCTGCAACAAACCGTAGATAAGAGAAACTGTGGATACTGATCCTGCAGATACAAGGGTCCTAAAGTATTATTTTATTTCCACTTATATTCTATGAAACCTTGATAAGTTAACAATTAGGTATTTTGCAAGTCTAAATTCCATAACAATATATCCATTTATCTAATAAATCCTAATTTGGAGGCAAAAGCACATACTTCCCCTGTTATACACCTTCCCTACAAAGTTGCCATTACATTTGTATTTCCTTTTCTTACGTCTTTCTCAAATTGCATTTGCTGCCTCCTTTTGGCACATCTTACATCTATTCTTCTTCAGAAGCTTCCCTTTCCATATAGGCTGCCAAAATTAATGACTGATGGAAACTGCTAGTGAGCATATCAGCGACTCTTCACAATTGGTGTTCAGGAAGAGAGTTATCACAGTGCCAGAAAACATATAACTCTCTGTTTCTTTGGTGCTATCAATCTGTCTGTCTATTTATCTATCTTAAATGAATATTGCAAAGCAAAACTTGTTTTTAGTATATTTACATAAAACAACAATAATAGTGACTAGCAAGTCCCAGTTATTTCAGTGGGTCATCTTTTAAGTATGATTAAATCTAGGTTTGATTTATTGTTATCAGTAGTCACCACAAGGCAAATATATATTCACAGAAAAACAATTATTTAACCACAAAGCCTCACTGTACATTCCCACGATTAATACACAAAGCTTCTTTATCATGGAGTTTGCTTTCCCATGTTGAAGGACTCATGTTGTTCTCAGATCTGAAGGTCAACAAACACTAATTTTCAGTAGATACTGATAACTGTGTTCAAGAAAGTATAATTAGTCTTGCTAGAGCATTCCACTCTGGTAGGCTACTTCCAAATATTAATGTGGTATCATTTGCATTGCATAGTGAAAAAGACAAAGGACAGAGAATATAGTAATGTATGTACAGTATATATATTTTGCTCTATTTTTCTTAAGAAACACAGTATCGAATCTGACCAATAAAAACATTTCTTGCTTCATACCTCTGTATGCAAAGATTTTTATGAATCTGATTAAAATGTTAGCATAGTCATCTATTAGAATAGGAAAATGTCAGGATTTCATGTAGAGAAGAAATGTTAAAAATTGGTCCTATGTGCACGGAAAGTTACTGAAATAAAATACAATATTTAAATCATCTATAGAAGAAGAAAAACATCTAAAGAGCAATTTAGATGTGCTGTTTGGCAATTTCTGTGATCAGAGTACCTCTAAAAATGGCAGGAATTGCTACAGTTAGGTGTAACAAGATTTAAAGTTAATACAGGATTTCCCTTGTGAGATTATAGGCATAAACAAACCTCCTTACTATTTGGTGGAAACACATATTTAAATATACATAGCAACAGTGAGTCATCATAACACAAGGAACTGTATGCTGCAGATGAAATACTAATTTGCTAACAGCAGATTTCCCTGACCTGTTGAATTTGGGAGACTGAATATTTCAATAGGCTGAAGCTTCCTTTGTAAGCAAACCACATAGTAGAAAAAACTCATGCACCAAAGTCATGTGATTGCTATGGAAATAGGAATATGAGCAACAACAACTCATTAATTAGCAACATTTCACTGTCATGATATATGCAGTTACACTGACACTGACATAAATCTGCAATTGGATTCTGGTCACAGTGTTTTTTAGCATTTTGTGTAGTTTTAAGAAGACTTTGTTGCTTTTGTTTCCAGATGCGGTCTGTGAGCCGAGTGTTCAAATTCATTGATATGCCAACAGAAGAATCCAAATTTATACCACCAGCAAAGAATGGGGAACTTTCCAATGCCCTCATAATTGAAAATAAGCATGTTAAAGAAGATAATATCTGGCCATCTGGTGGGCAAATGACAGTGCAAGATCTCACAGCTAAGTATGTAGAGGGAGGACTGGCTGTACTGGAAAACATTTCCTTTTCAATAAGTCCAGGACAACGGGTGAGAAAATTTACTTATCTTCATCTAAACTTTTTTTCAGGTGCTTCATAGCTAAGCTAGTGGCAGCAGTACTCTCTAAACCAAAAGTGAAATAGTTCCAGGTTTCTAACCTGTAAAAAGACACAATAATTGTTAGCTTAATTTTAATATAGAGAGTTTGCAAAAACACCAGAAGAAACAATTTGCTTAATATATGGAATATGAAAATTAAAAATAGATGCAAAACTTATTGAAGTACTGATCATATGTAGAGCACAGAGATGATAAAAAGTTCTTGTCATTGTAAAATTGTAGAAAAGTAGAGTGTATGGGTAGAAAAATCCACCCTAGGCTATAGGAGAATGACCTATACCTGCACATTTGTCTCCCTTCACTTCCTACTTGTATTATGTTGGAAAGAATTACTAATAAATGCACGTTTGGAAGCTAACTAACCCCCCCTCCTTACAGGCTGGTGTACTGGTAACGTACCACTAGATACAGTATTTAGATCTTCATAATATTTGAAGCACCTCTATGATACAATAAATTAGCCTTCTACAATGTGATGATCTCCAGATGGCATAATCTCTGACCCTGGGACATGTGGGGTTGTGCTGATGGGTGTTATACTTCAAAACTGCAAGGGATGCTCGGTTGGGGGTCACTGAGTTAGCGTGTCTTCATTCTTCAGGAATGTTACCATAAAATAAATTATACTTGTGCTACTAATTTGCACTACAATTCCCACAGTTCTTGATTACTGGTCAAGGTGGATGAGATTTCTGGGAGACTGCAGACCAAAACATCTGGAGGTTGCCTCCTCAGATGTTGAAGAAGCAATACATGTGTTCTCTTGAGGAAAACATCTATATATTCTTCAGCATCTGATTTTTAAGAAAACATCCAAACTTGGTATCAAACACGTTGCATGATTTAGGTATATAGAGTTCTTGGTTGACATCCTAGAATGGAATACTTTGCGTTTTTCTTTGTGCAAGCCAAAGTTTGTCCAGCTTTGCCTAATCTGGACATTGTTTTGATGTCATACAAAAAGGAGCAAAGCAAGGCCAAGTATATAACTTGTGTTTTTTTTTCTTACATTTAAAGTTTATAATGCTGTTATGAATGTTATAATAAAATATTTGTACTATAAAGACAGAAAGACATCTAATGCTATCACTTCATTGTGGGAAGTTAGATGATTGCTACATAGTACCAGAATCTGCTATTAGCATTGCACAATTCATGCTGTTCTATTAATATTTATAGTTTCAAACCCATTTCAGCATAAAGCATTCCATCTTGAACTGCTCTTTTGTTAATTTCTAACACAATGTGATTAAGTTATGGGTGGTAGTTCTTTCATTAATTTGCTTTGATAAATATTGCAGGTTGGCCTTTTAGGAAGAACCGGCTCAGGGAAGAGTACTTTGCTCTTTGCTTTCTTGAGACTCTTGAATGCAGAAGGGGATATTCAGATTGACAATGTCTCCTGGAACACTGTCTCTGTGCAGCAATGGAGGAAAGCATTTGGAGTAATACCACAGGTAAATTTACACTACCCTGTAAAATTAGTGTCTTTGGAAATCACTTTGCCCCAAAAAGGTACTTAGTTCATACAAAATCTTCAGATAGAATTGAAGTGAAACTTGCAGATTTGCTTTCAAAAAAAGAATTCATAATTGCTGGAGCAAACCAAATAGTTCTCTGAGTCTTCCTACCTGCACCTTTCTAAACTCCTAACAAGGACTTCTCCTTTTTTTGGTACAGGTAGGATTACTCTGGTTTAACCTATAAAGCCCTTCACCATTTGGGATCATGTTATCTGTTGGAGTGTATTTCCTCAAAGCCAACTGCCTGTGCCACTAGATCCTCTCAGGCTATGCTCCTCTGGGTGGGTATGCCAAAAGAGACCAGAAAATCTTCCACAAGAAATCTGGCCCTCTCACAGGTGGCATTGTCCCTGTGGAATTGCCTCCCTGTAGAGCTGCACCTGGCCCCCTCCCTCCCTAGTTTTAAGAGACTGATGAAGACACTTCTCTTTTGGGATACTTTTGAGGGCAGCCTCTGTTAAACTTTTTTGCCCTGGTTCTGCCATTCTACTGCTTCATGTCTTCTGAACTTATGGTGGGTTTTGTTGTTGTTTTATGCTTTGTTGGGTTTTTTACTGTATTTATCTTGTTTTTTTTTAAGTAAAGTGCCCAGAATATTGCTGTGCACTAATGGGATAATATAGAAGCTCCAAAACCAACCAACCAATCCTCTTGTGTTCTATACCAGTGGTTCCCAACATTGGGTCCCCAACAGTTCTTGTACTAAAACTCCTAGAAGCCTTCACCAGTAGCTGTGCTGGCCAGGATTTCTGGGAGTTGTAGTCTAAGAACATCTGGGGACCCAACATGAAGAATCAGTGTTCTACACTGTGTAGCAATGAGGTGCCAGAATCCACAGATCAGCAATAAGAGGACTAGGAGTAAGGCGAGGGAACAAATAATTTGGGCCAATGAGAGATGATGTTAAGGTGGCCAGATGGAAAACTAGACAATGTTCCTATAGCTTTAATCGTTTTCATTAAGAAGTGGTTTCCACAGGTTACACTTGCGTAATAAGCTGAACTTGCTGAAATTCCCTCTGCTACGCCACTATTAAAGGTGGAAAACCCCAGCTGTCTTTTACACCTGGCCACTTTGAATAATATGCCAACAATTTCATTATGTGGTGCCTGTGCATATTAAGAGGTGCTTACTCTTACTATTCTTCATCAGACTGCATAATGCAAATAAAAGAGCATTTTCTTAGGGAAGCTTTGCAGCAGTTTTTGTAGTTTGTTCTTTGAGTTAGAAAAAAATCTGGGAGGCTGATGGTGAGATAGGCACCAACAACATGTGGTGCCTCCATTTTAAGACATCCTTATCTAGTGTACCTTGATCTCTTGCAGGGTTGAGTTGCCATCTTAAGGACAGCATTTAAGAGATGACTTTTTCTCTATTAAAAAATCCACACACAAACCTTTGTTCTTCCATCTACCGGAAAAGTAGGATAGCCTAACATTGGAAAAAGTTTATAACTTGACTCTTGTTTATGGTGCCTAACCAACATTTTGAATAAGATTCTTCAAAAGGAAATTTTAAATTACCAAGAATTATCTGTAGTTGTCTAGGGTAGATTCAGAGAGCTAGAGTGTTTCCCATTTCTCTGAATGCTGTTGGATTTTATAATCACCAAGCATTAGAGATGAAGTAGATGTACGTAGATTGTTTTGAAGGGCTCATTTGACAGGTAATTGACTCAGCAACCACCAGCTGTTGAATAGATGCCAAAATCTTGCCGTAGCAGCAGCAGTGTTGATTCATCAATTGATCCTTTCAGACAGGGTGCAGTTACCCCACCTTCCTCCTTGAAGAAAGGACTCAAGGTGGCTTACGCACAGACAATGAAAGCCAATATTTAAGGTTGAAAACAATGAGTATACAAATTGTGGTTGACATCATTAAAAGACAATATTTAAAACTAGGAACAATTAATAAGGAGGCATCTTGCAACATTAACAGGCAAAGTTAAGGCAAAGATTATTAAGTATATAAAAAAGTAACTGAGAAAGGGAAGACACAAAAATGGAAAACACAAGTACTGTAGTACTAAAAATCCAGTTAAAACAATAATGTATAAAAACCTCTCTAAAAATCACACACAGGTAGCTGGTTTACTGAGAGAAGGCATGCCTGAAGAGAAAAGTCTTTGCCTGCTTGTGGAAGGATAGCAAAGATAGGGCCAGCCTGACCTCCAGTGGGAGGGAGTTCCATAGTCTGGGAGCAGCAAAAGAGAAGGCCATCTCCCATGTCTCTGTCAGACGCACCTGTGCAGGTGGTGGGACCAAGGGAAGGCCTGTCCTGATTATCTTAATACCTAGCCAGCTCATAATGGGAGATACGATATTTGAGATAGCTTGGACCCAGTCCATTTTTGGTATGCTGTAGGAATGGGTTAACTTTTTAGTTTAAAACCAGCACTTTAAATTGTGCTCCGTAACTGATCGGCAGCCAGTGTTGTAACTGCGGGATTATTTTATTTATTTATTTATTTAATTAGTAACTGATCGGCAGCCAGTGGAGTTGTTGTAATGGGGGGGGTTAGGTGATCCTTGTAATCAGACCCAGTCAGCAATTTGGCTGCTGTAATTTGGACCCTCTGAAATTTCCTGATACTTTCCATTGGTGGCCCCACATAGAATACATTACAGTAATCCAGCTGGGAAGTAACTCAATTTGGACCCTCTGAAGTTTCCTGACACTTTCCATTGTCGGCCCCACATAGAATGCATTACAGTAATCCAGCTGGGAAGTAACTGGAACATATACCACAGTGGCCAGATCAGGATTCTCAAGAAATGGATGTAGCTGGCGCACTGGTTTTAATTGTGCAAATGCACTCCTGGCCACTGCTGAGACCTGGGCATCCAAGTTCAGGGGTGAATCCAGGAGTACCCCAAGCTGTGCACCTGTTTTTTCAATGGGAATGTAACCCCATCCAGTACCGACTGCATCCCGATTCCTTTATCTGCGCTTTGACTGACCAGGAGCACCTCTGTCTTGTCTGGATTAAATTTCAATTTATTCACCCTTTGTTGAAATGAATCAGGAGCTGGGTCAGGGTTAGAGATGGGGGCATCTGTATTTGTATGTACAAATATGAATATCCCCACGTAAGTGGAAATAACGAGGGTCAGGCCCCATGGTTTTGCCGCTGCTGCCGGCCCCACGGAGGCTTCATATTGCACTGTTCTCCACAATGGATTAGCCACTCTCCGACCTAGCAGAGAGGCTTGTCATCCCACCTCCTGCCAGGACTGGGTAATTACTGTACATCTGATGAGCTTGCATCAGCGGCAAAATTGGGAGTGGACAGTCCGGCCCCATGGGGCCAGACCCACGTTATTTCGACTTGTGCAGGGATATTCATATTTGAATACGAATACTCCCATCTCTAGTTGGGGTATTTGAAATCAGTCTAAATTCATGTGGGTTTCGGCTTATGTGTATCCTCTTGGGACAATGTTTATTCCACTTTTAAGCTGTTTGGTATAGCAGTAGAGGGGAGCTGACTTGATACAATTTTAAAAATATATTTCCAAGTGGCATAGCAATAGATCATCAATAAGACAGCAGGTGTCACTTTCCAGTGTTTAAGTTATACAACAATAAAATACAAACAGGTTGAAAGAAAACCTCTGACGTGGGCATTGTACTTGGCAAAATGATTCACAATAAATTGTGTGCACAACTGAGTTAAGGTAATCAGCCCCATCATTACCGTTTAAAATACCTCACTTTCCCATCCGCCCCCAAATGTATTGTATAAGCAGATATTTTCAAATCAATTTCAAACATGCTAAATTCTATGCAAACCCAGGAGTGTTTCAATTTGTAACCAGACCTAGAATTTTTAGTGCTTTAAGGCAGCAGTTGCTGGTAGAGAAAACACGTTTATTTGAATCCAACTCAGATAACAGTGCTGAAATAATTGCTCTATTCCCTCGCTAACATATCTGTTAACTTCTGATTGATGTCAAGTAGAGTTAGCTCATGCACAGAGCATGCAAAGCTTCCCAACCAGAGATGAGAGGGTGATGCCCTCTTGTGAAACCCCCCTCCCCTTTTTGGACCACAAGCTAGCCCTAAGCCTTACATATGCAGTGTCAAAAATTGCCAAGAAATCTAAGTGGATACCTTGCAAGCTCATAGTTACTGACTGAACTGGTATAACCACTGCCACCCACGCCACAGTTTTAAAATAATGGGAAGAACAAAGAGAACATTATATTTCCTAGCTTTCAATTTCAATATCAGATTTTAAAATGTGCCTATTGTTTCCCTGGCCTGGAGGAGGAGTAACGTTGTTTTTAAAACCCTGGGTAGTCTGTTCAGGTGTTACGTTCCAGCTCACTCTGCCACTCCCATTCATAACTTCAGTTAGTGGTTTATTTTTTGCAAAATGATTTCCTGAATCCCGTGTTGGAGCAGAAAGGTGACTGATTTGTCATCATTGTCAGCCACCCACAGACATTTTCAAGGAGCCCAACAGAGTGCTACCAGGAAATCAATGAATATAATAGGAGAGTTTTAACCTTAGGAGTTGGCTGAGCATGATCAGCTTCAGCTAGCACACTCAGTGACCTGGGCTGATGGAGTTGTCAGAGTGACCAGCTGAAAAGAAGTGCCAGCTTCCTGTATCATTAATGATTGCTTAGAAGAGGAACTACCAGAGATGCAGCATTTAATACATGGTACACCTACTGAAATTTCCTCCTCCATTGTTAAAGATATAGGAACTCTCTTTTTCTGTACATGACCACAGTTTTCCAGTTCCTGCATTAAAGTTCGTTTTTTTAAAAAAAGAGGAATTGATAACTGGAAATGTTATGTGCCTCAGTATAAGTCTAATATTCATAGACCATAGTTAACTTGTATCACTTAATTAGATTGGGACAAAAACACTCTTCCTTCAATTTTAGTATGCAAATATTGTAACAGAGCAACAATATAGTGAT